ACGATTCATAAAGAATTTCATAACTTTTGTTTATTTTTTAAATATTATTTTAATTATAAAAAATTCTTTTCTGTATTTTTTATGAATGCGGTATATTGAATAGGGGTAACTAAACTTATTTGTTTATAATTCTCTAAACTGATAAACTATAAAATAAATTTAAAAATGAACTACGAGTTCAGAATATTTCCGTTGTTATGATATTTTTGTTATCTAAATGACCCAATGAAATCCAAATAATTTCTAGAAATCTCTGATAAAATGTAGATAAATACATGTCGTCGAATCCTATAAAATTATCTTCAATTTTGTTATTTATTTAAAATACCATTTATTTTATAGTAAATAAATATAGTATATTATAAAAAATTAATACAAATATATTGAGCATTTTTTTTAAGTCGGGGGGTGTCTAGACATGGAGGACACCCCCCCAAAATACGCCACTGGTCTTAAATAATCTGTTAGAACAATTATTTTATAGCTATGATATATAACTATAGTGGCGTAGCCAGGGAACACATTGCCTTCTATTGTTAGCAATATTTATCTCTAAAATGAAGTGATGAACAAACAAAAGTTCCAAAATATGGAATTTTGTAGATTTTTAGCTTCGATGCGAAGCTGAGAAGGTATTAATTTTACCATGATATGTTTTTTTTTTGTGTTTTACTACTTTTTTTCAGCACTCACTGGACCGATTTCTTTCAACAATACGTCAAAAGATCACAAATCGTATCTAGTCGAAGACATAACCCTTAAAAATTGAAAAAATTTCCCTCGTTCCCCGTAAATGGGGGAAACCTCCAAAAAAATTATAATTTCAAAAATCAGTAAATTTTGTCATTTTTTTCGCTTTTTTTTCTTAAAACTTCCATAACTTTTTGAAAAATCAACAAATCAACATAATTTTTTTTTATACTAAGACCTTAGATATTTCCCTTTCTTTTGGTATCATTTTTTTGAAAATTTAACACTTAACCTGCTCATTGGGGGGGATTTATAATGGCAACTTTTTTACAAAAACTAACTTTTTCAACTTAATTTTTTAAAATATTCCGGAAATACTGCGTCCTTTAAACATATATCAAATTAAAGCTTATTTTATGTACTATAAAATGAAAAAAAAACATTTGTCCCGACACTTTATCTTCTATGTGCAAATGGTTGTCGAAATTTAAAAAAAAATGAAATGTTTGCGATAAAAATCATCTACTATGAGGATGTTTTTTGTACTTAAAACTGCCATAACTTTTTCAAACATTAACAAATCAAAATAATATTTTTTAATATTGAAACCTTAGGTTTTTCCTTTCATTTGATATCATTTTTTTTGAAAATCTAACACATATTCTGCTCACAGGGGGGATTTAAAATAGCAACTTTTTTACAAAAACTAACTTTTTCAACTTAATTTTTGAAAATGTTCCGGAAATACTGCGTCCTTTAAACATATATCAAATTAAAGCTTATTTTATGTACTATAAAATGAAAAAAAAACATTTGTCCCGACACTTTATCTTCTATGTGCAAATGGTTGTCGAAATTTAAAAAAAAATGAAATGTTTGCGATAAAAATCATCTACTATGAGGATGTTTTTTGTACTTAAAACTGCCATAACTTTTTCAAACATTAACAAATCAAAATAATATTTTTTAATATTGAAACCTTAGGTTTTTCCTTTCATTTGATATCATTTTTTTTGAAAATCTAACACATATTCTGCTCACAGGGGGGATTTAAAATAGCAGCTTTTTTACAAAAACTAACTTTTTCAATTTAATTTTTGAAAATTTTCCGGAAATACAGCGTTCTCTAAACATATGTCAAATTAAAGCTTATATCATGTACTATAAAATTAAAAAAAAAAATTTGTCCTGACGACCTATCTTCTATGCGCAAATGGCTACCGTATTCAAAAGTATGCTATTTTTGAGTTAAAATCTTGGATTTTGTATTTTATTTTTATTTTATATTTATATAAGATATTTTAAAATATCTTATAAAGGCAATACACTGACTTTCATGAATATTTTATAATTTAATTGACATAGAATAAAGTTCATAAGACATAAGAAATTAAATTTATTAATTTTTTTTGCTTTTTTAAAGTCGAAAAAGTAATTTTTAAATTTGAGTTAGCTTAAATAGTCAATTTTATCAATCGACGAAAGCAACGAACAATTGTCGAATCGGTAACACTTGTGCCTTGCATGCCAACGGTACGAGGGTTCAAATCCCTTTGCTAAAATTATTATTTTACATTTTTTTTGAGTTAGAATATAATTTTCAAATCATTTGATATTTATCTCATTTAGATTCAATAACTTCAATAAATATAAAGGATCCTATCACTAATGTCTCCCTTCGTGAGAAGAAATTTATATTCATGTTAATATTATTTTACTATGTGGTTCTTTTTGTGGCTACGATTTATTTTTCCAAACCTCACTAAACCTACTCTTTCTAGGATGCGTCAAATGATTACAATTCGTATTTAGTTTAAGTTATTACTCTTAAAAATCGAAAAAATATTCCTTATTCAAATAAAAAGTAGCTTAACCAGCTTTTTCCATACAAACAATTAAAAACATTAATTTCTATTATTCTTAAAGTATTCATTGTCGAATTAGATTTGATATGATAAAAGTATTCAACTACAAAAGTAAATAATTTTACTTTGTAATTTTTTAATTTTTAGCTTCGATGCGAAGCTGAGAAGGTATTGGTTTTACTAAGATGTGTTTTTTTTTTTTTTTTTTTGTCTGTTACCACTTTTTCTCAGCTCTCACCGAACGGATTTCTTTCAACGATACGTCAAAAGATCACAAATCGTATCTAGTCGAAGACATTACCCTTAAAAATTGAAAAAAATTCCCTCGTTCCCCGTAAATGGGGGAAACCTCCAAAAAAATTACAAATTTAAAAATCGCTAATTTTCGAAATTTTTTCAATTTTTTTTACTTAAAACTGCCATAACTTTTTCAAAAATAAACATATCAATATAATTCTTTTTTATATAGATGCATAATATCATTACCTTTCATTTGGTATATTTTTTTCATAAATTTAACCCTTAACCTGCCCACAAGGGGGGATTTAAAATGACAACTTTTTCACAAAAAATTAATTTTTTTAACTTAAATTTTGAAAATGTTCCGGAAGGTCTGACACTTTTATATATATCTTAAATTAAAGCTAATGTAATATGCTTTATCATGAAAAAAAAAAATTTCGGACTTTATCTTATCTTCATGGTGAAAATGGCTACCGAATGCTATTTTATTTGTGAAAATTCTCGATTTTATATTTTACATTTTTGACTTTATATTGCTATAACTTATTGAAAAGTGTATGGATTAATACAATTTTTTTATGAGAAAGTTTCTTTTTTACTCTAATGAAAATTGTTTGCAGACCATTTATACATAATTAACAACAAATTATTATCTAAAAAGTTCTGTGTCAAGCCCTTTAATTTTTATACACGTTCCCATAAAAATAATAACTACTTTATGATTTTTTATAAATTCTTCGAAAAAATTATAATACTAAATTATTAAATATCAATTTTATACTACGTTGAATTGCTTTAATAAATATTTATTCATAAATTATACTTATAAATCAACTTCTAATTAAGAATAATGATAGAAATAGGAGTTAATTTTAGATTTATCAACTAATTTCTTAAAATTAAAGACTATCTACAGATTTACATCGAAGCGTTTTTTATGATAGTGATTATAATCACTGTCAGATATCTATACTGGACCAAACTATACCACGTCCCCACCGTGACGCGATCTATTTGTACTGTTTTTTTTTTTAAATGATGTGACGTTTTTTGAATAATGCTATTTTTTTTTGTTGATAATAACCTCTTATATTGTATTTATTATATTTCTACCTATTATTTTTAATTTTGACCAAAACGATTATATTTTGCCAAGTGAGAAGCATGACACCCCCACGCGTTCCTCTCGCGAAGGCCCTGCTTAATTGATGTAATTATAAACTCAACTAAGGGTCTAAGCCTCACAAAAATAAAAAAATTAAATGCACGTGCAACGTATTGTTGCATAAAGGTATTTTTGACTATTAACATTTTTAAATTTTGAGTGGAGGAAGAGCGCATCAAAGTAAAACCCACATTTTACCTACACTATATTTTAAAATAATAACTTGTATATATATTTATACTACTCAGAGATGTTTCCATTTGAGAAACTTAACTTAATATATATATATATATATATATATTA